AACAGAGGCTGTTGGCCTTTGCCTTGCTGGATCCAGCTTAGCACAGTAAAAGCAAAACAAACCATTTATTATTTTTTCTAGAGTTAAGGCTAGAGTGCTTAGAGAAATCATGGAGTAGCCTACCAAAAATTTTATATGTCAGTGCAGAAAGAATTTATAGAGAAACATTAAACAGAAAAGTTGGCTCCTATTGAATTTCTGTGATGTTCAGTGGAGAGCTGGATGGAAAGATGAACAGAACAATGAAATATAGTTTCATTGGTTTCAACAATCAACAAATGAGCACAGAAAAAAAAATTCTGGCCTACAGGCAGCTACTGAGTAGAGTTCCTGCAGGATGGCAGCTTGGTGCTGCAAGGGGCAGCTGCAGACAAAGGCCAACACTGAGAAGTCTGTGAGTCTGTAATCTGGGTGCCTCGTGGCAAGGCTAAGGCAAGCCAACGTGAACAGCAAATTAAACCTTGCCTATTACCAAATCTGATATTGATAGATTTTTAAGAAGGTTGTCAATTTTAAAATAATTTAGCTTTTATGCACTGGATTCTGGATTTATCTGACAGAACCAAAAACCAAAGATATCATGTACTAAGTTTTTTTTTCATTTTCAAATCATTCAACCATGGTATATCAAAAACTACTGGGACAAAAATGCTCAGGCACATTTCTCAATACGTACATATTAGTCCAAAGAAAAGCCGTAAGACAACAGTGCAAAAGAGTTAATTTACTGTCAGTGAGAATCAAGACCCAGAACTCACCACAAATAAATGAAAAATAAATTCAGAAATCAGAATAATGTCAGACTGCTCCCAGCTTCAGAGCTCCTGTTTATGAAAAACTCTGGAGAGAAAAGAAATGAAAATGGATGGCCAGCTGCCAGCTAAGCCTATTATTCACAAATATGCCCTGTAGCACCTTTTGGAAGCCTATGCTATCTCTGTATATATTCTACCCCAACAAACCGCTTTAATTCAGTATGTTCCACCTTTCTACTTTACTTTAAAGGCTTTAATCAAGTTCTCACTATGAACTGAACATACAGTTCCCACATTCACACTTTAAGATGTGCAAGAATAGAAGATGGAGCTAAGCAGAAACCTGAAATGTACTGACCAGCCTCCTTTCCTCGTGTGCTGCCTCCCTGCTCCAGCCACTATCACCTACACTGTGTCTGGTGAAACCACCCACCTGTCACATCTGGGAAGCTGCCATAGGCCCTTCTCCCCACTCATGCACATCAGTGTCTGCTTAAGGAGGAACAACATGGAATATTTTTCCATTTTCTTATTACACTTTTTGTCTTCCCTGAATGAGAAGCCTGGTGAGGGTGGAGGGGTAGATCTGAGGTTTTCTGACAGGAATCATCTTCTTCCCTGTGTGTTTCTTACAAGAATCAGGGATTAGTGATTTATAGCTTAGCACAGGCATGTTTCAAGCCTATTTTTAAAAACATGCAGTGAAGAAAGTTTAAAAAGCTATGACCAAACTCTGTCTTGTTTTTTTTTCCCTTTGTCTTTGAAATCAGCCAAGTTGTCAGGGTTAAACAAGACCAGAATTTGGCTTTGAACAATTCAATCTTGACAGGATTCCTATCTACTGTCTCTGAAAATTAACCAAGCAACCAACCTACCTTGCCCCAAGAGCTACTGCTGCAGAACAGAGCAACCACAGGTACCCCAAACTCAGCAGGCTCATCACTTTAGGAAAGACCAATTTCTAGCAGTAGGCACAGAAAGAATGAGCAGGGAGGGAAGGTCTGATCTCAACTCAGTGTTAATTGGCAGCAATACCAGAAGCTGTAAAAGAGGGCCTCAGATCAGAAACAGTAAATTGCTCCCTCAGTTCATTTGCCCATGAAAATTGAATGTTTTTTTGTCTTTGCAATGCTGTAGACAAGGAGACAGATTTCAAAACATGATGACTGACAGCAAGATAGAAAGCCAAACTATCAAAGAGACTGTGGGACTAATCCGATGACTCAACACAACCACACGTAGAATCGTTTTTCTAGTGAAATGAGTTGTAATGAATAAAGGATCCTGATTTTCACTCAGCAAGAGGTTTGTGCTTTGTTGAAGTCCTGCATAGTTCCGCTTTATTCTCTCACTTCCCATGTGATTTATTATTCCAAATACAGTCAGTTTTCTGTGGCAAAGGTTAGGTGTATCTTTAATGGTGAAAAAAAGATACAGACACCACTAAGTTCAAATGAGGGCAGGGTTGCGACATGAAAGATTGAGTCTCACAGTGATAGTTATCAGGAAATTCCCTGTTTGAACTTTCATTTCCCTTCTGGCCCCATTCCTCGATACACAACAGTCACAAGGCCTGAAAGCTGCCCCTGACTGGCCACCTTTGCAGAGGGCAGGAAGGGCCCAAGGTGTGAGATGGCTCCTGGCAGCCATGCAGGCCTTTCTTCCCTACATGGTGCTGGCACATGTCCTGCCCTGCTCTTATAAAGGGGTCATGGCAGGTTAAGAACAGCCAAACACCACAGCTTCAGCCAGTCATCACACTATCAGCTGGTCCCTGCTCCTTGGCTCGCCAGTTGCTTGAGCCTCCTCTAGGGCTGCCTCCAGCCTGGCCCTTTTTCCACACCCACTTCCTGAAAGCAGCCATTTTCACAGAGTCACAGAATGGCCAGAGTTGGAAGGGACCTCAAGGATCATGAATCTCCAACCTCCTGCCACATGCAGGGCCACCAACCTTCACAGTTAATGCTAGACCAGGCTGCCCAGGGCCCCATCCAACCTTGAACACCTCCAGGGACGGGGCATCCACAACCTCTCTGGGCAGCCTGTTCCAGCACCTCACCACTCTCTCTGTAAAGAATTTCCCCCTGACATCTAACCTAAATCTTCCCTCCCTCAACTTAAAACCATTTCCCCTCGTCCTGTGGTTCTCTACCCTTTCAAAGAATTGATTCCCCTCCCCTCTGTAGGCTCCCTTTAGGTACTGAAAGGCTGCAGTGAGATCACCCCGCAGCCTTCTTTTCTCCATGCTGAACAAGCCCAGCTCCCTCAGCCTGCCTTTGTAGGGGAGGTGCTCCAGCCCCCTGATCATCTTCGTGGCCCTCCTCTGGACCCTCTCACAGACACGTTCAAACAGAACATTTTCGTGGGACACTGAGGAAAAACGCGAGGAAAACCTGTTTGTTTTCATTATTTTTATTACCATTATTACAAACGCACTCAGCGTACCGCCTTTCCGAGGCAGCACACTGAAGTGACGTCGGGGCGGGGCACACCCGTCAGGGGCCGCCCTGTGCGCGGGAAGGGCGGCACTCTTCGTCCCAGCCCCGCCACGGGGAGGGCGTTGCGCCGGGCCCTGCGCCTGCGCACTGCAACCAGCGACGCTAGCGCGGGCTGGCCGTTCGCTGCGGCGCGGGGCCCGCCATGAGCTTCCTCATCGATTCCAGCATCATGGTCACCTCCCAGGTAGCGCGGTGTTACGCGGCGAGAGCCCGGCCACGGAGGGAGTGAGGGAGAAGGAGGCGAGGTGGGATCAGCCGCTCGGCCCTGCCGGGCTACCCACTCGCCGCGCCTCCGGAAGCGGCCGCTGGGGCCGTGGGGCTGAGGGGCGTGTGGGCGGGGTCTGAGGGCGCGCATGCGCAGCGCGAAGGCGCGGTGCCTCTGTGTGGGTCCCTCTGAGTTTTGGCGGGGTTGCCAGGTCCGAGCAGAGGAAATGGCTTTGTGGCTGGATAGCTTCGCCTGCTGCTTGGAAAGAAATAAATAGGAATCAAACCAACCAACCTGCAGTTCAGGAGTGTTAGGCAGCACGTTTTCTATTGCTGTGTTGCCTCTTTGGTTCTGGTGTGTTGCGTGTTACCGTGACCCTTGGCCTTGCCTAGTTGTTGTATTAGAATATTGTGCACAGCAAAAAATCAGTGAATTAGGCTGTAGGGAATGGAGTTTTCTGGTAACATTGCCAAATTTCTACAGACTTAAGTCTTGTTGGAACCACCAGGAAGGCTCATTTTGTGGTTCTCTAGGTGTCACTGACTTGGTCTTTGTTGTTTCCCAGGTAGACTAATAATTTGTGGCCTCTGTGATGTTGTGCCATTGAGGTGCTTGCTTACAGCCCTGCAAAGTTTGTCGTGGCTTGCTTTAAGGAATCTCAGAAAGGCACCACTATTTTATCTGAAATGCTTCTTTCTGTGCTGACACGTGTGATTTAGAACTTCCCTCACCTTTTCCTTCCTCCTGCCTTCAGAGTCATCTTTCAGCCACCCTGCTTTTCACTCCAGCTTAATTCATCCAGGAGCCTGTTAAACCTTGTTTCATGTCATCCTGTCTTTACCATTCCAAGCTGGGTGGTGATCTTAACATATTTGAGATCGTCTTATTGTTCTGTGGGAGGAAACACTCCATCTTTCTTCGTTAACTCCCAGTAATTTGTCTTGTCATTGTGTTGTCTCTGACCTTCCTTTCCACCTTGCTGTCCCACTCCCTCCTCAGTAAACATCCAAATACCCTTTCTTCCTCTCTGCTCCTCTGGTTGCAGAGGTGGTCCAACTGTTTGCTTCTGCCCCCTCTTCCCTTCCACTTGGCTGCACAGTCATATTTTCATTTGTGCTTTCTCCAGTATTGGTTTTCTGCCATATGAATGAGTTTATCTGGGTCACAGAGGAATCTGATCAGCTTCAGAGCTGATTTAAAATCTGTGCTCTATAATGACGAAGGATGAGTAGAGGAAATGGCACCTTTCCCCTCTCAACAGCAGCTGGTTATCTTATAGAGTGTTTCACATATGACTGTGGTTCCTCTGAGAATTTTCAGGATAGATTTCAGCTGTTTCTTAAAGGTAAAATCTCCTCCTGCTTGGTATAGATTTGACTTTTGTTTCTGACATGCCTTTTCACTGTCAGGGTTTGAGTGCAGCTTTGATACTGTTATTCGTTCCCCTAGAACAAAAGCTTTCCCATCATTTGCTTTGATTTCTAAGATCTAACTTCTCTAATTGCTTTTCTTTCATTTGTGATGGCAGCACTGCATCTTCCAGCCGTCTTCAGAAGTATGAAGTTGGATGTTTAAATTGCTGCATGTAATTGTCAAATGCTCAAACTCATGCTCACCTGAGGTATCTTAGAGTGTGAACATAAGATAGTGTCTTTCTGTGCTTTTGTATAGTCCCTAATATAAAGGAAATCTAATCTTCGTATATAATTTCCTCTGTTATTATTGTCCCTGAATATCTCATCATCTTTTTCTTCTACTTCATTTATTTATTCCTTTTGAAAAGTCTGCCTGCCTTCTCCGCCTACCCCAGTGTTAATGGAATCATACTTTGGCTTGTAGCCTGGCCTGTGAATAGGAGGTTATGGAATATTCTTACCTTTCTCTTAAATTTTTGCTATCAACTACTTTAAAGTCTGAGGTCCTCCTCAAACCAGTTTTGCTACCTGCTGTCAATCACTAGACCTCATTCCTATGCCAGTTTTGCATTCAAGGCAAATGAACTTGACCTTTCTCACCCAGCTTTCCAGGTATTCCTTGTTTGTAAATCATGTTCTGTTACCCTTGCCGCTGCTGAAATCCATTGACTTCTAATGCACAATGAAATCACCCACAGATGGCTTGTGTTGGAAGAGACTTTAACCCTGGGGTTAAGGATGGACTGCTGGGAGGCACCACTTGTGATTGGCCTCCACGTGGACATAGAGTCTGTCATGGAGTTTTCTCTAGATCTGTCTGAATCTGTGACAGGAGGACATGAGGCCCACCAGCCTGAAAAAGGTGGTGGTGGGGGAAGCAAGAGGGAAAGGAATAAGGAGGAAAGTTAATTTACTAGTTCTAACAGTAGAAATACAAGTTAATTGGGATTGATGCTAATAAATCAAATAAATGAGAGAGAGAATGTTCAAAACTGAAGGCCTTACTCTAAAGCTGAAGGTGAGATGGCTAGGGAGCATGCATTGCTGAGAGAGCAGTAAAAGAGAGGGCTGTCTCATAACTTGAGAGCAGTTTTATCTTTCCCTCCGAATGAAAAATGGAAATGAATGGTCTTCAGAAGTGCGTAGTTCTTCTTTTCTGAAAACCAGGTAACTGGAAAATCAGCAGTCCACGGAACTGGAGCAATGTCTCTTTAACTCCCAGAGCTCTACATGATGTTATGATGTGGAATACCAATAACAAAAATTACAAAAGCATGACAGAGGCATTAGCAACCACTTTCTGGCTACAACTATCCAGCCAACTCTTATCCACTGAATAGTGCAGCCTTCTAATCTTTATCTCTCCAGTTTAAAGGTGTGGTACGGGACCACGTCAAAGGCCTTGCACAAGTCCAAAGAGACAGTTGCTCTTCCTTTGTCCACTGGTGCTGTCACTCCATTATAAAAGGCCACCACATTGGTCAGTCACAATCTGCCCTTGGTGAAGTCATGCTGGCTGTCTTATATCACCTCCACAGCTCACGTGTGCCTTAACATCTCTTCCAGGAGGATCTGCTCCATGATCTTCCCAGGCACAGATGTGATATTCAGCAGCCTGTAGTTCCCTGGGTATTCCTTTCTTGAAAATGGGACTGATGTTTCCCTTATTGCAGTCAGTGGGGACTTTGCCTGGCAGCCATGACTTTTCAGCCTTACAACCACATCAGCCAATTCCTTCAGAACTCTGGGATGCATTCCAGCTTCCTGAGGCATTTTCAGACCTGCTCTGCTCTAACTGGGGGTGGGATTTTGTTCACTTGACCACTGTCTAGAGGTTCAGGTAAATTGCTGTTTGTGTCTGTTATGTGTTTACTGTAAAAAAAAAAAAAAGGGTAAGCTGTATATTTGAAGAGTGAAAGAAGAAGCAACAGTGTAAAAGATTCTGGCAGGCCAGAAACTGAGGTATTTTGAGAAGTTGGGAATACAGAAAAAAGCTCTTTTTGCTCAATCTTCTGTAAGATTCTAGGCTTCTCTGTCTGTTACCATTGAATATTTAAAATGTTATACTCTCCATGATACCTTGACAGGTTTCATATCTTGGGTATATTGGCCTTGTTCTGTTGCTTCCATTTCTTTCACCTACAACCAATAGTGAAGCAGCTACATATTTTGCAAATTACTGGACACAAATACTAGATACTTAATCTCTTCTGCAGGTGCTCTTCTTTGGATTCGGATGGCTGTTCTTCATGCGTAAACTCTTCAAGGATTATGAGGTAAGAAGGGGACTTTCATCACAACTCTTTATCTTAAAACTACTCCCAGTTATTGCAGTGTTCTTAAAACTGCTTCTGACCTTTTTCCACTCTTTAAACTCTTTTATCTTATTTTCAGCTTTCGTACACGTACTTTTTTTGTCATTTCCTCTCTACTTTTATTTAAAAGACTCATACATATCTGGGGAAATGGATTCTTCTGGAACCACTAAGTTTCTGTACTGGCAACTTTTTAAAAAAATCAGTTGGAGGAGGAGCAGGAATAATAGAAGCTGTGTTCCTTGATTAAGCTTGACTTATGTATTTGCAGAATTTTGGAGACAAAATCAAATTCAGCTTTAAATTTGGTGAGGAGTAAATTGTTTGTGAGGATTGGTTGGGATAAAGGTTGGGACATTCCCTTATCCCAAGACAACTATAAGAAAGTATAGTCTAGGTAAGAGATGACTGAAGTGCAAGGCAAATCCAAACCCGAAAAGTTTATTCTTAAATTATTTTTAAATCTGAGATTAAGAGCATGGAACACTGTTAGCAATTGTCTATCATTAATCAAGTTGCCACCGGGTATTACATCCCTTCTTCGTAGGACTTCTCTCTCAAATAGGATTGATTTAGTCAGTATAATACAGGCTGTTGTTTCTTCCCTTTTGGATGAAATGCAGGGTGCCTTTAGCAAGAGTTGTGTGCAGTTGTACCATGTGTTGTTCTTTTTTTTTCTTTCTTCACCTGAGGTGTATCTACAGATAGAAATGCCTGATACCTCTGGCTTATTTTCTCCATTGCAGGTGCGACAGTATGTTGTCCAAGTCATCTTCTCTGTGACTTTTGCCTTCTCTTGTACTATGTTTGAACTCATCATCTTTGAGATTTTGGGAGTGCTGAACAGCAGGTGAGTTTGGGAGCTGACTGAAGGGTTAGTGTGCAGAAGCTTAATATATAGATTGGACTTGTATTGGGGAAATTATGTGAGAAGATGGTTAATAGCTCAACAGGGGTGTTTGAGCAGCAGGATTTATTTGACAAAACATGAGACTAGAAGCCTTAATTTCCTGATTCTGCCACAATTGCTATTATTGTGGCCTAAAAACAAAGCTTTAGTCTTTGAGTTTTTTCGTTTGTGAAATAAAAGAACAGTTTTATGGGTGAGCTGTGAAGCTTTGGATCATGCTGAAGAGCTCTTTTCAGATGTCAAGAACTATAGAAACGATAAGCCCTTGTTTTCCAGTACTGGTCAAAGCAGTGAATAAGATGTGAAGCTAATTGTGAAGTGAGAACTGTACTTCTGTAGTAGAACAGTATTTGTGAATCAAAGGCACATCTTTCCTTGACATAGGGTGAGGGCTTCTACATAAAGAAGATGTTAAAAGGTGGTTACTTCAGAAAGCAGCAGGAAAGAGAAGATAGAGCAGTAATATGGAAAGGTTATGGGTTTCCTATTTGTTGTCTTTCATCATATGAGTCTAAGAGTGTAATCAAAGGAACTGAAAGGTAAGAAGTTCAAAATGGATATAAGATATACTGGTAGTTTAGACTGTATGTTATTAATCTGTAAAACAGTCAGAGCGCAGTCAAGAGAGATCACTGAGGAGGATGCTTTTATAAGCTTTCATAAAGGGCTGGAAATCATTATAGATGAAAATGTCTGTTTCTGAATTAGCTAGGAAAAAGTGACAAGGATCTTCAGGAGAACTTCTGCAAGACATAAGCAGGATATGGGTCAGTATTGGGAATAAGGCATGTGTTTTTCTTGGAAAGCTGAATGGAAGGTCAGTTCAACAAAGATGAATCTGATCTGAATTTGGCTGATCTCTTCTGTCAGAGGACTGTTGATTGCTTTGTAATGTCTTGCATGTGAGAAGGTCACTTTTAATTGAATTATGTTGAGTTATGAACATAATTTTTTTTTCTATCTTTTCAATTTATATTAGCTCTTCCTTGACTTAGCCATTTATTACAAAATTAATAATTATCATAGCATCAAAGAATCACAGAATGGCTTAGGTTAAAAAGGACCGCAAAGCCCACCCAGTTCCAACCCCCTGCCATGGGCAGGGCTGCCCCCCACCAGCTCAGGCTGCCCAGGCTCCATCCAACCTGGCCTTGAGCACCTCCAGGGATGGTGCATCCGCAGCTTCTCTGGGCAGCTGTGCTAGTGCCTCATCACCTGTTGAGTAAAAAATTTCTCCCAAACATCTAACCTAAATGTCCCCTCTTTTAGTTTAAAGCCACTCCCCTTGCCCTATCACTATTAGACCACGTAAAAAGTCTGTCCCTCTCCTGCTTGTAAGCTCCCTTCAAATACTGGAAGACTGCTATTATGTCTCCAAGGAGCTTAGGAGCTTTTTCTACTCTAAGATCAACTTGTCCAACTCTCTTGACCTTTCTCCAGCCCTCTGATCATCTTTGTGGCCCTCTGGATCCACTCTAACAGATCTGCATCCTTCCTGTAGTAGGGGCCCCAGGCTTGGACCCAGTACTCCAGATGGAGTCTCTCAGGGGCAGAGTAGACAAGGGTAGCCACCTCCTTTCGCTTGCTGGCTACCCCTCTTTTCATGCAGCCCAGAATACAGTTGGCCTTCCAGGCTGCAGTTGCATGCTGCTGGTTCATGTACAGCTTTTTGTCCACCAGGACCCCCAAGTCCTCTGCAGGGCTGTTCCCAGTGAGTTCTTCTCCCAGTCTGTACTCGTATCTGGGATTGTCTCAAACCAAGTGCAATGCCTTGCAATTGGCCTTGTTAAACCTCATTAGATTTTCGTGTGCCCCTTTCTCAAGTGTGTCCAGTTTCCTCTAGATGGTGTCCCTTCCTTTTGTTGTGTCAACTGCACCATTCAGCTTGCTGTTGTACTCTCAGCAAGTTTGCAGACACTTGATCTCATGTATCACTTGATAAAGTTGTTGAAGAGCACTGGTCTCAAGACAGACCTCTGAGGGACAGCACTGGTGATTGGCTTCCACCTGGACATAGAGCTGTTGGCAACAACCCTCTGGCTAATTCTTTATCCACTAAATAGTCCAGCCTTCAAATCCGTATCTCTCCAATTTAGAGATAAAATGTGGTATGGTACCATGTCAAAGGCCTTTCACAAGTCCAAAGAGACTGCATCAGTTGCCCTTCCTTTGTTCACTGGTGCTGTTACTGCATCATGGAGGGCCACCGCATTGGTCAGGCATGATCTGCCCTTGGTGAAGTTGTGCTGACTGTCAGATCACCTCATCTTGCATGTGCCTTGAAATATCTTCCAGGAGGATGCACTCCATGGTCCTCCCAGGCACAGAGGTGAGGCTCACTGGCCTGTTGTTCCCCAGGTCTTCTTTCTCCCCTTCTTGAAAATGGAAGTGATGTTTCCCCTTTACAGTCAGTGAGGACTTTGCCTGGCAGCCATGACTTGTCAAATATGATGGAGAGTAGTTTTACTACCACAGCAGTCACTTCCTTCAGAACCCTGGAATGCGTGGCATCCAGCCCCATATTACTTGTGCTTCATTTTGATCTTATCTAACTGAATTGTGCTGCAAACAGCATTTATCATATTAAAAATTAGAGTTTTGAGAAAATAGATTTTTGTAGGTCATTATTAGTTTTGAAATACACATCCATGGGGTGTACATGAAAAAAAAACCCAGGATATGCTATATGCTAGGCCAGTGTTATCCAATGTTCGATGTAACTGAAAGGATTGCACTGAGACACGATTGTCTTTTGGAAATTTGTTGTGATGTAGCATGCTTACCTGTATTTTGTCTTTCTTTTAGCTCTCGATATTTTCACTGGAAGCTGAACCTGTGTGTCATTTTGCTCATCCTAGTCTTCATGGTACCCTTTTACATCGGTTACTTTGTTGTGAGCAATATCAGATTATGTGAGTACTTGGCTTATGGCATTGGGCCTACTAATTTGAGACTGCACATGCAAATGAGAACTTTTTTTTTTTTGAGAGAGAGATGTGTTGGTCACTCTGCCTGCATCTTCTTCCTTCCCCTGGCTTTGTCCTGGCTAGATAAGTTCTGGGCTTAATGCTTGAGCAATAACTGTTTATTGAAAAGTTAGGATGTGTTTCGCCTGGCCCCCCAAAATGTAGCTTTTCTTTCTGGGTTTCAACAAAGATGGGCGATTTGGAGTACTGCTACTGGAATTTGTTCCTTTAGAGTTTTAAGTTTCAGCCAAGCCCTTGACCAGCCTGTACTGTTCTACTAACGGGTGAAAAAAACAAGGCAGAAAAATGCAATAAATTACCCCTGCTTTTTTTGCTTACTATTATTTGGTTGAGGCCCCTTCCATGTACTAAAGCACATCTACCCTTGAGTTATCAATATTCATCGCTCTTATGTGTTAAGCTTAGATATGTGGGTTGGGAGTCTGGTGTAATGCCAAAACATGTAGCTTTGGCATTAAGATGAATTTTCCAAGAGTCATTTTCAGGATCACGTAAGAAAGATGTGACTAAGTACTTCCCTGTTCACAGTGCTGCCCTTAGGGAAGAGCCAAAATGCTGCGTTGGGTAAGCTCTTGCAAAAGATGATGTCTCAAGTAGGGACTTTGGTAGGAAGTGAAGGGGTGCATACTGCTAGATCCAGCACTGTCAGAATATACCTGCTTTGACCATCCATGCTTTAAGCAGCCTTTGGGCTATTGTAGTGGTTTTGTAAGACTGAAAATGCCTTAAAGGAAGAACTTCAATACTATTTTTTTTTCTTTCCATCAGTGCACAGACAGAAACTGCTTTTTGCATGTGTTCTGTGGCTGACATTTATGTATTTCTTTTGGAAGCTGGGAGATCCATTTCCCATCCTCAGCCCAAAACATGGTGAGTTTCCTATTCTTGATTATTTCTTCCCTCCTAAAAGTAGTCTTTGCTCTCTTACCTGTATCTTGGAGCTTTTATTGTGTTATGTTTATTCCACATTAGGGATTATAGAAAGTATTTCTTGTAACTCAGTCTGCTTTGAAACACGGAATCTGAAGTTTGCCAGCCAGCCAGAAATGGTTAGCTTGGGTATCTCTGCTCTGCACTCATGGAACCAAGAGCATTTATAGTGTGAAGTTACCGTGTAGACTTAGCTGTTATGCGGCAGACATTGTCAGCGTGGGTGTAACTGTTCTGAATCCTTTAGGCACCTAAGTATGTCTTAACAACACTTTAGGAAGGATTAGATGTCACCTGGGTTTCCTGTATAACTTATCCTGCCATTATTCCCTGCACTGGAGAATTGTTTGTGTTTTTCTCAACAGGAGAGATTCAGTCAGTTTCCTTCCAATTGGTGAATGTATCTGTCTGGATAGATAACCATCAACTTAATCTTTCTGTTCTCTGTGAGACTACTTCATTCTGGACTCAGAAGATAAAAATTGAAGGATACCAATTGCTGCAGGGTCTGCTCACCCTTCCATCTGTGATTCTAAAACTTTGCTAAGAGAAAGTGTGTGTCCTTGTTTTGTAATTGTGTCATTTGCCCATGAAATACAGTAGCTTGTAAATAGCACAATCACTACACAATGTTTCGTTGCCAAGAAAGAAGTGAATCCACTTACATCCACTTGAGTTAGCAGAATATATTAATCCAAAGGGAGTTTAGCCACAGGATTCAGATAGTCCTCTTCAGACTACTCTAAAAGTCTTGTGCAGCTGAGTAACAACTGCACAAGTTGTTACTCAACTGCAAATATCCAGAATTGGTAGTTCTTTTTTTTTTCTTTTTTTTCCCCCTCCTGTTTTTGTCTTCTGCTTTGCGGAATGGTACCTTAACCTAACAGTTGTACAATATCTTATCCTAGCAGATTCAGGCAAAAGGGTAGAGCCGACGATTTGGCTGGGATGCTGCTGTTGCAGGGCTTTGTTTTGGAGGTGGTGATCTAATTCAGATATGTAGGATCTTGTTGTGGAAGGAGGTATGGCAGGAAGTCCTTTTTAGGTACATCCACTGGCATCTTGTGTTGGGATTGCCTTACCTTGGGGTGGTGTTGGCACTGTGCAGCAGCTGTGAAATGTACCACTGACCAGGACTTTTTGTCAGGAGTCCTGGATGATCTCCAGTTTGTTAAGTATGACTCTGTGGACAGATTTATTCTGTACTGGTTTACCTAGTAGTATTCTATTAAGACTCTAATCTTCATCTGAGTTCATAAAGCATATGTTTTATGTGATCTGATCACAAGAGTAAAGATGCTGAGAGTGTTATGGGGGAACGTTGTTTTAGACAGTGGAATGTCATGTCATTTTGAAGGCACCTCTGTTTTAACTGGTGCTATCTGATAGTGTGTAGGGCAAAAGGCCAGGATATAGTAGCACATTCTGTAGCTGGTGTAAATCTCTATGCAGCTGCACATGACTGGGTTGTCTCAGTTTCCCTTTGTGAAATCCTTTTGCTGTGTTTTCATCATTTATTCTCCTTCTCTGAAGCATGAAATGTGGTTTGGCACTTGGCCATCTCAGCTTTGCAATCATGTAAGCTCCAAATGTGCTGTGTGTAGCAGCTATTCTATAAGTATCTCCCTAAAAACAAGTTAATGTTTGATAGTACCTGGCACTGTATCCTGAGAAGATGGGTTGAGATCTTTTCTTCATGGTTAGGAAGAACAAATGCAATCTCATTGCTCGATATTGGGTACAGCACAGGCTTGACATTCATGCTGCATCATGTGAATGTATGGTTTAGAATTCACCTGGTGCTCAGAATGCTTGCTTGGTGGTCACCTCAACTGCATGTGTGTATCTGCAAAATGAATACTGAACAGCTAGCAGGAGCATGAACTTCCCATGCTGTCATAACTGCCATCTTAACGCACAAATTGCACCTGGTATGGAGGAGTCGCTTCTAATGGTTGACAAGATAGGGCTTCCTCTCTATGATCTAGAGAGTTTTGGTCCAGATTGCTGGGAGTAACTGGTTTGGTAACTCTAGTCCTGGTTATTGCTGGAGTGTCTTTGCTGAAGATGTCTGTTTTATGGAACCTGGTGGATGTATGTTCCCACCTCAGCAATGTCTAGCTGCTAATGTTTTATTAATGTAGAACCAAAAAGTTGTCTGTTAATCCCCTTCAGATCTCTTAACTTTCTTCACAATATGAGTATCCTATCCCTGTTTTTAAGCATGATAATGTGCTTTCTGAGGGAGACTTTCTTCTCTCTATTCATAGTCCCTGTCCATACTTCATATTACCTCTGATCATTGCACTGTGAAGGTAGCTGGTTTCATTAGGCAGCTCTGTATATGTACTGGTTCGCAAAGACACCAGCTGTGGAACAGGATGAAGAGCGCAGCCCGTTACTGATGCTGTGTTCTTTATCTTACAGGAATCCTGTCTATAGAGCAGCTCATCAGCCGAGTGGGTGTGATTGGGGTGACACTCATGGCTTTGCTGTCAGGATTTGGTGCTGTCAACTGTCCATATACTTACATGTCCTACTTTCTCAGGTAATTGCAGCCTTGTGAAATATTTTGTCTGCCTTTAAGGTTATTATTCGGCTTTTCTCATTGAATTGATTGAATTCTTTTCTTTAAAGTTGCCTTTTTCTCATCCTGATGGCATTAGTGATGGCTTTTGTTTTCCATGTTCTAAGTGTACTGTAGCAATTGCTGTTCTACACACCAGAACCATTTTCATCCCTGAAAGATCTCTTCATACAAGCTTCTCTCTTTGTTTTATGAGCATGTGTATAGTCCCTCTGAAATGGGTTAACAGACCTAATTGTTGGGTGTCTTCATTTTGCAGGAATGTGACAGATGCTGATATTCTTGCTTTGGAGCGACGACTTCTCCAGACTATGGACATGATTATTAGCAAGAAAAAAAGGTGAGAAAGGAACAGTTGCATTAAATGAATTATGTCAAGGATTTGCAGTCAGTATGCTATTAGATGGTCTTGAAATTACCCAAATTTTCTTTTCAGGGCTTGATGTTCCAGTGAAACAGGTAGCTGAGTTAGGCTAGAGCTGTGTGGGGTTTCATTCTGGCCTGATATGCAACTTAGGCTTCTTCCCAGGCCTTTGCCTTAAATAGCATCTTTTTTCCTGCAGTAGTACAGATTAGGCTTCGAGGACAAGTTTTACTCTCTGATGGCAACTTGACTAATCTAAGATAAACACTTTTCTCTCCTAATGAATAAATGTCTTTTGAACCACCTCAGTTAACTCTCTTACTAAGTTTTGGTACAGCAGTTGATTTCATATATACTGAAGTCTCTCCTGCTCTGTGGATCTGGTGATTCCTGGTCAAAACTGAAGCAAGCTAGTGAGCTGATGTGAATACAGCTGTGTAAACTTTGCCATTTGCAAGAATATTGATTAAAGGTGTAGTGGAGTTGTGGAACACTGCTAATATGATGGTAGCGTAGTGTGACATCAGAAGGTAACATAGGGGTGACATCAGAATTCTGCTTTTGTTGATTTAGCTTATTTCATGTGCCCCAGGTGAAAACGCTACTTTCAGGAAACAGTGTCATTGCATGTACACTGAAAGGATTTTTGCATGCTCTTACAAATTGCATATTTCATACCTTAGCAGTTATAAAGAGTAAATGCAATTAGCCATACCACTTCAGAGGTCTGTCTGGTGTAGAATCCTTGCAGAAACCCTCAAAACTTTACTTCAGGTGCACTAATGTTTTAATGGAACCTTTTAATGTATTACAAAGTAGGATAGTCTTGCTGAATTAGTCACCAGCATGCATATCTGCTGGTCAGTGAACTGATCTGCTGAGCCTGTGAAAGTGTAGTCGAAGCATGTCTTCTTTCTTCCTCTTTGAAAATGTTAAGTGGTGGACAAATGTTAACTCAGTATTTGTGGCGATTTGTAGGTTAGTGAGAAGGTGTATTTAATCAGAGAGGTTTAATTGGCTGATATGATTGACAAAGAGGATATTAACATGCTGGCATTGAAGTTGAAAGATTACTGTGGAGTACAGCTTTTGAGTCTGCCCTTTTGTTTTGTGTAGTGTGTTTGGATCTCTCATATCAGGGAAGGTAATGTTGGGTTAAAAGTATGGATGTCTGGGACTTGTAACTGACTAGCATTTCTTGGAGACAGCTGTTGGAAGTTGTTTTTGCTAATGCTTTTTGCACAGGAATTATTCTGTCCTTTCTGAGCGTACTCAGTGCATTAAGGAAATTTGCCACTTAAGGTTGAGAGGTTCTTCATACTCATCCTTGCAGATATTTTGGGCCCCTCACTGCAAGAAAGACTTGGAGGCCCTAGAGCATGCCCAGAGAAGGGCAACTAAGCTGGTGAGGTGTCTGGAGCACAGGCCTTATGAGGAGTGACTGAGGGAACTGAAATTGTTCAGTCTGGAGAAGAGGAGGCTCAGGGGAGACCTGAGCCTCAAGGGTATTACTTCTTCTATTGCGTGATTTATTATATTGTTACGTTATTATTATTATTTATTACACTGCTTATCAGCAACTTTGAAGAGGGCTCAGTGCCAAATGTAGCAGTGCTGGCTGCAGCTACAAAAAAGGACCTGAACTCTGTCAAATCATGGATCGCCTTGACAATACTATGAATAGTTTTCAGCTTAGGGTGGATAACTGGCTCACAAATTTCAATGGAGAGACATGTGAGGTAATGAGGCCAGAAGCCAACAGTGCTTGCAGGGATTATGCTGCAGTGCACATGGGGGTGTGAGGGACAGTATGCAGCTGCTGCTGTAGTATTGGATGAATTTTAGGAGTCATGTTTAGATCGCCGGATGTGTCCAGTGGTTCAGTCCAATAATGGATTTATGTGTTTCTGCTTCATAAGAACTTGTCATGCAGCCTAGAAGTGAGTGACAGTGTGTGAGAGAGCTGCTGCATACCACCCAGTGCTCACACTTCTGTGGAGGAAGCGGAATGTGCAGTGATAAGGAGGTGTCCAAGGAGAGAAAGGGGCATGAAAAGTTTTTCCAGTTCCTGAATCAGAGATAGCAAAGTCCCGTGTGTGTGATGAAAGTAACTAATCACGTGACTGAGAAAGCCATTTGAATATTTATTTTTAATTGGATTTAAATCCCTCTAAGGATTGAAGCAGAATTCCAAATAGAAGTCTTAGGAAGTGTCTCATTGAATCTTGCTTGATTAGATCTGGGCTCTACTCCAGAGCTAATCAAGATAATGTTATGAAGCAAGATTAGTGCTTAGGGAAATAAAAAGGGGGCATCTGTTGGCAGTGAATTTAGTTTAATCGTCTTTTCTAAGGAACTGTTTTTTGGTTGTTGGGTTTGAGTTTGTTTTTGTTTTTTGTTTTGCTTTATTCTAAAGAGACTTTACTCCTGAAGACTTGTGTTTTCTGCTTTTTCAGAATAGCAGTGGCTCACAGGACAATGTTCCAGAGAGGGGAAGTGCACAACAAACCTACTGGCTTCTGGGGAATGATAAAAAGTGTTACGACATCTGTTGCAGGCAGTGAAAGTATCCTTCATCTGCATGCTGGCACCTGGAGGTGACTCCAGCTTTCTTTTGAAAGGAAGAGTGTTAGGTGGGCCAGTTGTGAAGCACCTGTGTTCTAATACATTCTAGAAGCCTGGGCAAAATGCTTCGTGTCTTCTGGGAGGTTTGCTGTCTAGTGCTGTACTGTATCACCTTTTACCTAGGGATTGGACTCATGGTTTTATGTAGACACTCAGGAGTCATATGTTGCAGCCATACTATATACATGTGCTGTTACATCATCACAGTTGAGGTGTACAGCAGGTTGCAGGACAGATGTATGCACTTTCTGTGTCATATTGCAGATGTCTGCCCTGTCACAACACTGAAGCTGGAGGCAACTTTCTATTCTGATGTATCCTTGGCTCACTGACTTACCTGCATATATGTTTTATTTCATTACTTGAAATACACTTTTCCAGAGTGGAAAAGTTGTGACATGCTTGAGCAAAACAACAGCTCTGTTTGAGGTGCTGGAACAGTTGTCCTCGCTTATAGCTGGCTTTTTGGCTGAGTTTGAAAGCGAGAAGAAAGGCAGGAATCTCAGAGTCACAGAATTGCAGGGGCTGAAAGGGACCACTAGATATCATCTAGTCCAACCTGCTTGCTAAAGCTGGCTCCCTAGACTAGGTTGCACAGATAGGTGTCCAGGCAGGTCTTGAACATCTCCAGAGAAGGAGACTCTACAACCTCTAGGCAGCCTGTTCCAGTGCTCCGTCACTCTCACTGTGAAGAAGTTCTTGTGCACATTTGTGCAGAACTTCCTATGCTTCAGTTTGTGGCCGTTTCCCCTTGTCCTGTCGCCACTCACAGCTGAAAAGAGTCTGGCCTCATCCCTTTGCCTCCCACACCTTAGGTATTTGTAGACATTTTATCAAATCCTCTCTGAATCTTCTTTTCTCAAGGCTGAACAGACCCAGGTCGCTCAGCCTTTCCTCATAAGAGAGGTGCTCCAGGCCCTTTGTCATCTTCATGGCCCTCTGCTGGACTCTTTCCAGGAGATCCCTGTCTTTTTTGTACTGGGGAGCCCAGAAGCAAACACGATACTCCGGGTGAGGCCTCAGCAGGACAGAGCAGATGGGGAGGATTACCTCCCTGATCTGCTGGCTACGCTTTTTTTAATGCCCGTCAGGATGCCATAGGCCTTTTTGCCCACCAGAGCACACTGCTGGCTCATGGCCAACCTGTCGTCCACCAGGACCCCCAGGTCCCTTTCTGCAGAGCAAGAAGCAACCTGTGAACCAAATAAATTATTTTCATGGTGTAGGTTCACTCTTATTACTCTAGCGATGTGACAAAAAGTGGATAGGAACATGTGAATAAACGTTATTGTCTGTATGCAAAAGGGATAGAAGGAACGTGTGGACAGTTACAAGGGTCTGTACTTCCCTACCTTGCCATTGCCTATCAAGAATTTCTGTCAGAGCACCTAAAAATGTGCAGTTTGCTTAAGGCCAAGGAGTCTTCTTCCTGTCCTTTTCCAATGGCTGTTAAAATTAGAATTTGGCTATTTGGCGAGACTCTTTATTATAAACAGTAATGTCCTGGGGTGGTTACTCAGTGGTTTTGTTTGTGAAGGTGATGGGAGTGTGAAATACTATGCACTCTGATGATAAGGGATGCTGATTGAAGTGGAGAAACAGTCTTTGAGAGCTCTGGTTCTGCAGTGTGTTACCTAGGTAGAAGAATACTACCTGCCTTCTTAAAATGGAGTACTGTGCAACACAGGTACCCTTGAGATGTCTTTGGATGCATTATTAACAAGAGCACTAAGACAGTATCAGAAAACTGATCTGGATTAAAAAAGTGGTCAAACCATTAGATGTGACCCTTGAGGTGAAGATGGGGAATATTTTCTTTTTTATTACGAATTTGTGATGTACTCTAGCCTTGACTATGCTGGTTTGCCAGATCTGTCTCTCATCCAGCAAGAAGTGGATGCCCTAGAAGAACTGAGCCGGCAGCTTTTTCTTGAAACTGCTGACCTCCATGCAACAAAGGTATGAAACAAAATAACTGCCCAGATAGGTGCTGGGAGCCAGAATAGATTGAATGAGAACGTATGTTACCAGAAATTGAAAGCTGTTTAGCAGGTAAATGTTGAAATGTAGTGATGTGGTGAAGTGAGAATCTGTTGCGGCCTTCCAGAACTTAAAAGAGAGCTTATAAACAGGAGCAAAATAAGCTTTTTACGTGGGTAGACAGTGACAGGACAAGGGTGACCGGTCTTAAACTAAAAGAGGGAAGATTTAAATTAGATGTCAGGAGAGAATTTTTCACTGAGAGAAGTGAGGTGCTGGAACAAGTTGCCCAGAGATGCTGGTGATGCTTCATCCCTAGAAGCATTCAGGGCCAGATTGGGTGGGGCTTTGGGCAGCCAGATCTAGTGCTTATGGTTGGCAACCTTGCCCATGGCAGGGAGGAACTAGATCATCTTTGAGGTCTCCTTTCCAACCCAAGCCATTCTGTGGTTCTATGATGATTCTATGATTCTTTAATTTGGGGTCTACAGGGCAGGTTACTTCCTGTTTAGGTATGTGCTGGAACATACTACAGGTTCCTAGAGCTGTTCAGAAGCCTTTGAATTAGAAGAGTTGTAGGATAAAGCTGTGGTTGCTGCTCTTGGTGCACCATTAAAGTGTATGGCTTTGTGTTGTGGATTATCATGGCAATGAATTTTTTGTATGTATTCTCTTTCCCCCTTCTTGGATTTTTTTTTTCTCCAGGAAAGAATAGAGTACTCCAAAACTTTCCAGGGAAAATACTTCAATTTTTTGGGTTACTTTTTCTCCATCTATTGTGTCTGGAAAATCTTCATGGTATGTAAATATTTTGTTCTGTTTTATGTGCACATATGCAAATGTTACTCCCTGCACAGATTATGCTGTACATGCAGTGTATTAAGTAAGGCCCTAGTCTCCTTATAATCTTGCTTCTGGAAATTCTGAATGAAAATGGTATTTATCTGGAATAAAGCTCTGCATCTTTCTTTTTACAGAACCTTAGGCAAGCATTTCTAATATATGTGTTTTTAAACCTTCTTAGACAATCCAGCTGCTCCCCCAACCTTGGATATGCAAACAAGAGTCTCATATGTAGCAGTGAGGTGTTCTTTTTATTTTCTTTGATTGTAAATCCATCTCTGCCTTGCAGGCAACCATCAATATTGTGTTTGACCGCGTGGGGAAGACGGATCCAGTCACAAGAGGAATTGAGATCACTGTGAATTATTTGGGAATCCAGTTTGATGTGAGATTTATTAATTCTTACAGTATTTTCAGTAATTCCTGCCCCATAAAAGCAATTGCATACTACTAATAATGTGGAAGTGATAGAACCGAACCCTGAGAATGCGTGAAATAGAGTTTTGAAACAAGTATTCCGTTATTTGCACTTTCATAATTTTTTCCTGTAAAGAGATGATTGATGTAAGTTATATCTCTTTTACTTGTGTGTTTAATGTAATGACTTAACAGATATTTTCACAATTATATTAGTAATGTAAACCTATCTACAATGGATATTGTGTAACTAGGAAGTACAAATATCCTAAAGAATTAGCAGCTATATGATGTAGTGAAAATGGAGTTAGAGAATTAACTGTATTCCTCTTGTTGATACAGGTGAAATTCTGGTCTCAGCACATTTCCTTTATTCTTGTTGGAATAATCATTGTCACTTCTATCAGAGGCCTGTTAATTACACTTACAAAGGTATGTTTGGCCAGTAGTGTCTTACATGATTTTTTATGAGGAAAGCTGTTACTAGATCTTTAAATTCAGACAGAACATATACTGCATAAACTATCAGTACACATTCATGTTTTTACTCTCTGAATTTAAATCCTTGCAGAGGAGGAGGAGAGGAAAAATATATTCTCCACTATATTTCCCCACTCAGTTTCTATTACTGTTATTCTCAGGAAGAAGTGTGGATGCTCAATGAGACGTTAAGCGTAAGCATGGTAGCCAGCATATTAGTAAGGGTTCATGAGATGATGATTAAAAGAATTTAGATTGCCTCATTTGAACTGCTGGTTCTTTTTGTAGAGCTGGAAAGGTATTAACTCAAGAGACATGTGACTCCTTGTGTTGACCTGGATTTTAGTACCCACTCTTAAATATTAATACATGACTTTTACCAGTTGGTGCCTGCCACTGACTTTAAGAGATTCGTGTTTCTAAAAGTAGAGTACATGCACCAATCTGAAAAAACATGCTTTTTATGAAAAAGAGTATTGAATGGCATGTTCCTTTCATGATGTCCTAAGGTATCGTTGTCCAGCTTATTTCCAGTGTGTTTTTTCTTTCTAGTTCTTCTATGCCATTTCCAGCAGCAAGTCCTCCAATGTTATTGTTCTGCTTTTAGCACAGATCATGGTGAGTATGCAGAACCATGGGCATACCTGTATGCATTTGTGCATACATACATATTTGTTTTTGCATACAAACGAAGATAATAAAGTCTTTGTGTGCTGACCTATGTTAGCCACAAAGCCAATTCTAAAACAACTGCTACTTTCTTTTTTTCCAGGGTATGTACTTTGTATCATCGGTGCTCCTGATTCGAATGAGTATGCCTCTAGAGTACCGCACTATTATAACAGAAGTCCTGGGAGAGCTTCAGTTCAACTTCTATCATCGTTGGTTTGATGTAATATTTCTAGTTAGTGCACTATCCAGCATCCTCTTTCTCTATTTAGCACACAAACAAGCTCCAGAAAAGCATATGGCCCTCTAAGTAAGGACTGCAGACACACACTGCTCTCATGTCCTTTCTGCTGGACTGTTGCAACTCCTGTGGACTGCAAAACTTGGAGAGCCAGGACAGTTCTGTGTGTTCAAGCAATGTCACTGGCTCTCTGAACTTCCATGTCTTTATTCAAGCTCTGTGGCTCATTTTAAGGTGCTACAGCTTGAAGGAAAGGGAATGCACACATTGCCAAGGAATAAAGGGAATTAATGATACACCAGTATCTAAGGGACTGTAGGCTGTCTGAGGTAAGGTATCTTGGATTTAGAAGAACATCTTCAGAGAAGGCATCAAGCAAATGTGATTTTTCTTTTAAAAAGCAACTCATAATTGTGATTCAGAGAATGGTAATTTTGGAGCTGAATGTGGGAGTCTGTGGAATTAAATAAGCTTTTGTAATACCTCATGCAAGCATCGCAGTTGTTTTTTGTCAGCTCAAAATATTTGTTTGCAAGTGAGCTGGAATTTTCTACCTGGCAGAAGTGAAATGGAGTGAAATTGAGAGGATATCACTAGTGTGTGCTGTCCTTTTGAGCTGGAGCTTAGCTTTCTTGCTGAACCTCAACTTTATTTCTTATGTAAACAGAACTGAAGTTTTGGATTCCTGTTTGCCAGAGTTCAGCATGAAGTCAAAGATAACAGTCATGCTTTGTTTACCTTATGTGTTATAAATGTATTGACCTTATATGCTATAAATCTGGTGTTCCCCTCAACCTGTATGTTCTTCTCCAGTAGCCTGTTTCCCCTTTCTGATGTCATTCAAGGCATAAAAGTAAATTTCATTCATGTGACTTGAACTTGTGGCTTCCCATAGACACACTCCCAGGCTTTGTTTGTTACAAGATTGTTCTGGAACATAAATCATAGGTGGTAAGGCTAGGACCTGGGGAAAAAAATAACCACTGAAAACAATTTAATTCTGTATTGTCTTTGGTGTACAGGAAGGAGACAAAGCATACAATAGCAATATTGCAGAGCCATTTATATAACATCCAAGACAGTGTAGTGTTGACTTGGAATTAGACAAACTGGCACAACTGAATTACGCTTCTAACCACTATGATCCGCAAATTTAGGCAGAGGAGAGAGAACAGTGCTTAAAGGTTTTAGGTTTTGAGTTATGAATTATGAGGTTAACTTAATGTTTGAAAGAAATTTCTGCAGTGTTAGTGGAAGAAAGAAGTGTATTGCACAGAGTATATTAGTTCATGACATATCGTAGCGATTGCACTGCCATAAATACAGCACAGATCGTCACCTCCAGGATTGTGTTAATGGGTTTGGATTAGAAGAACTGCCTCTCCTGGGAGATGGTGAGAAATCAGTTGGTCTTTATTAAATGCTCATCCTTAAAAGGCTCAGATACTTAGGAATTTATGAACTGTTTCCTCCCTGTGCTGCAGTATACTTAACTATGTACCTCTAATTATTAAAGCCTTTACAGTAGTAAGTGGCTTACTCCTCACTTTACAAGACAGAAAGCCTTGTACAGTGAATGAAGTACAATTGCAGCTTGTTAAGGGACTGCAGGATACACTGAAGTGCTTATTTCAGGCAGTGGCATTTTAGCAAGACATCAGAGTCCCTTACAGGTCTGGTACTTGTATGGATAGTCAAGTCCTGAAGTTGCAGTAGCAAAGTGTGATTGAAGAAAGAGAATTTGGAAGATTTCTTTTTTGTTCTCGGCATAGTCAGTCTCCTCAGAACCTTGTGTCATCACTGCTGTCACTGCCTGCTCCTGCTGAGGCAGCTGATTGTGAAGAGGAAGATGAGCTTGCCTGCAGAGGAGTAACAAATACGTTCTGGTTATTTTTAGTTTGTAAACATGCTGGTCTACAGTGTTATGAAGGACTCCTGTTTTAATCTGCACTAATGATATACTTGTTTGGATGGCATAATGAGCCAGTAAATGTGACTTTTGTCATTGAAGTGCTTTTTCGTTAGCAATGGTATAGAGACAAACATGTTTAGTAGAAATTTCCTATTGTTTAATTTCCGTATCTGGTGAACTTGCACACAAAAGTAGTGCTAATCTTCTGACAGAACTTTTGAAAAACCTGGCACTGGATATTTGCGGATAAGGGTCATGAAAAATAGATAGGAAGATAGGAGGCAGTATTGGTCTAATTCTTCCTGTCTGTCTCTCTTGCATGATCAAAAAGAAGCATTTCAGTACTTAAGGCTGACCACAAAGAAGGTTCAAAATTACTGTTTCAAGAAAAAGTATTTTGCTGCTCTTCTGAGTTCTGTCATACTTCAGATTCTTTTTACCAGTATAACGTGAGCAAAATTATTTTTAATCTGCATATTTCCTTGAAAATATCATCATAATCTGTTGATTGCTCTTTCTTCTAAAAAAAAAATGTTTTGAAATATTTCACCTAATTTCTCCAAAAGCAGGTTATGCTTTTTGGTGTATTTAAGGACTTTTTTTTTTTTTTTGCACTTAAAGGACAGTATTGCTTCCTTGAGGATTGGATTGTGTAGATTGTCTTGTTCCATAGTCTCCTGTGTGTGCATTCTTTCTGTAATTTAATTGTGCATTAAAGATATTCACCTGCATTATGCCTGGGGAAAGAAAGAGTTGTTTACAGTAATCATATCACAGCTTCCCTCTTGATAACTTGGACTGACTTGTAAAAATTGAGGATCTTAGCTCAGTTATACACAGCAGTTATAGGAGGTTCTTTTACTATCTCCTCAATGATCCCTTGGCATTTGTTTAATACAGTAATGCTTACCCTTTCTCTTGGTTCAGGTGAGGTTCTCTCTGACTCTGCTACTGAGGTTTCTGTGTAAGCAGGAGGTTCAGAAGTGTCTTGGGCTGGATCTGCCATAGAGTCTGTGATGGGAATGTTCTGGTCCTGGAAGTATTTGTAAGCATCTTTACTGCACACCAGTAGCGTTACTTTATCACCACTCTCTTTGATTCTTGCCACGACGTTGTCATAGGGCTCATTCATCACATTCACCCCATTTACTTCCACCAAAACATCATTATTTTCTACCCCTGCTACATCAGCTGGTCCATGTCTTTGTACCTGCAAGGCAAGTTCAAACGGTGACATTAGCATAATGTTGAAAAGATGTGTTAGCAACTGATGGTCCACTAAGCTGTCAAAATAAAAGTGGCAGGGAGATTTTTGGGGCAGAATTGAACTGGGAGAGACAATAGGCCTAGGCGGTGTAATTTTAACTTTACTACATTGACATATTCTTTAGTGATGTGTGAAACTCCTCCCTTCTAGAAAACAAAAGGCACAGATGTAATTTGTGATAACAGAAGATTCACTCCTGCCAGCTGTGAAAATTCTGAGAAGTGGAAGGGAAAGTTCTCTTATATTTCCAGGGTATTCTGTAGTTCAAAAATCTATATTTAAGATACTATTTGCATTCCAGCCTTATAAATAATAGCAAAAAATGAGATAAAATTTGGATTTCCCTTCCTTTTAGATATCTAGTGGAATAAAAGGACTGAGGTTTTCTGGTGTTCATTTTAATATTGGTCCTATGATATCAGTCTGACTTTTACCAATTATAACTTATCTAAGAGAGCTGGCAAAGAGTTTTGTCTTTTCTTGTGCTTTTTCTTGAGTGCATTTACAGGATGGAAAGGAGAAGGCTGCCCAGCATACTACACAAGCTTTTCATTGTTGATTATCTTACATTAGTACCTCATTAATAAATAGTCCAGGTTCGTTCTTGACCATGTTTAGATTGAAGCCAAATCCACTCGGCCCTTTTACCATCTTGCAGACTCTTGGCTTGTGGTTCACTTTCTGTTCAGTGTGCAACTCCACTCTTTCCTCTGCTTTTACTGGAGGTGGGTTTTGTACTTTGTAGTAATATGAATAGGGGGAGATTTGAGCCTGAAAAAACAGTGACAAAGAAAACTTTGATATAAAACCTGTTGTGAAATCTGTAGGTTTCTTGCTAAATATGTTTTGCTTGAAACCTAATGGTTCAGATACGAGTTGCAATGAGCTACTCTTTGCTGTTAATGTCTGGTTAAGTGGAAAGCTACAGTGTTGATCCCCATGACAAGGTTTGTATTGCTCATAAAAGATTACACAATAATTTAATTCTGATTTTGCTGTCTTATTCCAGCCTTTCTTACGGTGCCTTCAAATATAGAATGGTTCCAACAGTGCCTCTAAAAACATGGAAGAGGCCAAAAATGTGAATATTTAGTGACTTGGTACTCAAGTGCAAGGAGTGTTGCTGAAATCTGCATGCATCTTAGACCCTTGCTGTAAGATAAACAAGTCTGTCAGAACAGACTGATTTGTTTCTGCTTCTGTTTCTTATTAACAATCCTTAGCTGTAGCTTGCATTTACTTACCAGTTTATACATGGAGTCGGTCTCCTTATCCACTACCAACAAGGTGGTTTTTTCCTTAGACTGCTTAATCTTTCCCACTACACTTTCATGATCCAGTGCATCCACTCGCTCACCATTGACAGCTACCAGGATATCATCATCTTTGAGACCTGCTTTGGCTGCTGGGCTCTTGGAATCAACATCTTTGATTACATGATCTAAGATCAAAAGGGGAAAAAAAGTGGATGTGAAGGACTGTTTGGTAAGTGTAATAGTATTTTGTGTCGTAAAAGCTGTTGAAATTGCACTTGAGGTTGAGGCAGTTTTCCTAATACAGGCTTGTTAAGAAGCCAGACAAGGAGAATGAGTCTGCAGACGCTACAGGAATAATGGAATAAACTGTATCACAAATGTCATGGCCTGTGTGTTGGCTTGGTTCTTACCACCAGTGTTTTGTTCCATCCGTAGATAAAAGCCATAACCATTTTTTCCTTTCTGAAGCTCAATAAGTTTTGGTTTAAGAGGAAGGAGTTTTAGGTTGGCGTTCTCTTTGCTCAGCACCATTTTCTGGCTTGTATAATAGCGGTCTGTTTCTTCATTTGAAAGTAGAAGCATAATGTGATTTCCAGACTTCTTTACCTGCATTAGTACACATACAGTCACAGATATGACCCCTTCAAAAATAATTGTAGTTACATCAGTAACTGGCTTACTGATACATCAGTGGTGGTGAGTACTGGTGCTACATCAGCTGGAAGGTCTGGGCGAGGCTATTATAGGGTTTTTTTTTCCTTTTTTTTCTTAATGATTTGGACCATGTCAAGATTTCAGTCACACAAAATCTTGCGTATATATGAGGTAGTGTTCTGTATTTCTTACTGTTTTCCTGGTCTCTGAATAACTAGCTGTAGAACTGAGCTACCTAACAGCTATAAGGTTGGCATGCAGTGGCAGTAAAATCCAGTAAGTCTCAGTAGGTGGTCCCTGACTCATCTAAACCTGAAACTCTGTAATACAGACATATCATGCCATCTCTATCACTATTTTGGATTATAGCAGCAACAAGCAGATAACTTATCTTTGCCCTAGTGTTAAATTTCTGTCAGACTCTTGGCCTCCTTCAGTGTCCCTGTATGACTGACTGAAGATTTTTGGTCTGTTCAAATTTTCCATTTAGTTTCATCTTCAACTGCTTTCTAGTTCATTGGGTGCCCTATTCCCTCATTTGAATGAACATCACTGCAGTTGATGGTTTGCAGCCCCCAAAAACACAGGAGTTGCACAGCTCCATAGTTGGTAACATGCACTCAATCGTGTTGCTGGAATGCCAGAGCATGACCAGCCCTCTGAAATCTCTTCAGCTCCAGCTGTGTTTTAGCAGTGCCATTAGTGGAGAACTGGAAGTCTCATTAGCAGTGTTCTTTGCAGCTGAGGCCAGGCAGCAAAATTACTTGCAGTTTAATTTTCATTAATCTTGGGCTTCTTAGCAGCAAAAAGGAACTGCTGTCTAAAATCATGAATTCACCCTGTTCCACGCTGCCTGCATCATCAGGGAGCACTCCTCTTCCTTCCCTAAAAGTTGTATTTAGTTGCTTGCCCTCTTACTATTGGGAGTATTTCCAGGATTTCTAGGAACAGAGCATGTTTTATTTACTATGGTTTCTGGCACTCCTATAATTCTCATATTTAGAATTCTTTGGCCTGTTTTGATGGCAGTGTTGATTCAGAGTCAGTTCAAGAGACCATATGACAACAAAGCCAAAGCAGGAGGGTACTCCACTGTGTTGGTAAAGTATAAGCAGTGGCTTCCAAGATTTGCTGTGAAGCATTCAAACTAGCCAGACCTGCCTCTTCAGTAAGCCTGACAAGTTGCTGTGAAAATGGGCCAGAACAGAAGATGAATCAGTACGCAAACAAATACCTTTTCCACAACCTCCTCATGTGTGTCATTTTCCACATTTTTTCCATTGATTTCAATCAGGCGATCTTTATTTTGGACACCCGCCTTTGCAGCTGCTCCTTGTGATGTCAGATCTACTATGAACAACCCCTTCTGACCTGAAATAGATGGGAACTCATTACACAGAGTAATTCACTGAAACATGCTTGCATTTGATGGCTAAAAAGATTTAGCACCGATGTCCTTACACACTCTTAGTCTCTTATGTGTGTATTATAGTGGCATCACAAATCTTCAATGTGGACACACCTCTGTCTCTTTACTTCTCTTATTTTACCCAGGAAACATCACTTCCCTGAAGGGAAGGAGGTGGTTTTTTTTTTTTTCCACTACAACTCAAACTCTTATTTCTCTACCAAGAATGACAAAGGGGCTGAAGATGGCAGGAAGGGACTTTTTTTTTTTTTTTTTTTTTTTTTTTGACATTTTAAGAGATGAGCTATTTTTAGTGCTGTTTTACACACTTCAGAATTTCCTGTGTTTGAAAGATATTTGATCTTTTGGTTATACAGCATCCTAAAATATCCTGTTTGTGGTTGATGATTTCCTGAAGGTTTGCCTATTCTGTTGACCAGCCTTGTAAGAAAGACAGGTGTGAAAAAGACTGGAAATTCCTTACTTTCTAAATGAAACGAATCAGGAGAAGCATTTGGTCGTCTTCTTATTACTGACTAGCTGGCTAGAACTTTGTATTCTAGTTTTTGAAGGGAGTTGGAGGAATAAAATGGGACTTCAAGCAGCAGTTGAGGATATATTTGGTATTCAGGCATGAGCTGTGGAAGTGGTTTTGGTAAATAAAAACCACTGCTATGGTGGCTCTTTCTTTTTTTGGCTTTTTTTTTTTTCCTGCCCCATTAAAAATATGGTCCTCAGGAAACCATATGTTGTACAGAAATTGACTGGAGATGGGTCTGAAACCATCTTGCTGCTTCTTGCTTCCCCTCTGTTAGCAAGAGCACCTCCTCCCCCCCCCAAGCTGTGGCTGTCATATTTATACCATCTGTCCTCCCCAGGCTCTCACCTTCTGTGGTTTTCAGGGAGAAGCCATACCCCTTTTCCTCCTTCACTAAGTAGCAGAGCCGTGGTTGTGGAACTGTGGTGATTGCTCCATTGGCCATGGGCTGTGTGGACTGCTGCTGCTGCTGCTTCTTTCCTTTTGATACCTTTTGACCCAGCTCTTCCAGATTCGCTCCCTCCTTTTCTGCCTTTTTATAAGATGCTTCATCCAAAACAAGAAATACAACAGAATTCCCACTGTTCTTTACCATTTCCACCACCTGTAATGGACAAGATGAAATGGCAAACAGAGTGATTGACCTAAAAGCTTTCCCAGGAAGGATTACACTCTTTACTGGTTTTGTTGTCAAAACAACAATCCCTCTGCTTATGCACTACAGAGGCACCTCAAAAGCATTTCATACCCATGATAGATAATAAATGATGCAGAGAGATATCCAGAGCTGTTAACTCAGCTCTTGGACTTCCCAGCTGAAGATGCCATAGAAATGGAAGAGAAAGCTTCCAATACTGACAGTGGGTCTGGTTCATGGGAGGTGATGTAGACCCCAGACTAAACAGGTTTGTACCTTTGTATGTTCCTCCTTGTCTACGAACACACCATTAACCCTGAGGACTCTGTCTCCATCCTTCAAGCCAGCCTTTTCAGCAGGGCTGTTCTTTTCCACGTTCCGGATGAGATGTCCTGCTGTGTCTTTCTCCACACGTAGGAAAAATCCATAGCTCTTCTTGGGTTTTTTGGTCACTTTGCATTCTCGGGGCTGGAGAACAGAAGTCATGTCTACAAAACAGGATGGAAAAGGTAAGTGTGAGTAAAAAAAGTAAGCTGACCTATGTATGTTCCCTGTAAATATGTACTGAGACTGTTTGCTTCAGAATCCTTAGGGTTTGGTTTCCTGGGAAATCCAGCTGTGCAAAGGCATTTTTTTTTTACCTGCTAACTCCAAGATGAATGGACTGGCACTGTGACGGGAATAGAACAATGAATGATGTTCTCCTTAACTATTGCAATACCTTTGATAGAGTCTCTTGTACAGTAGGTGTAGATGACTTGTTGACATATGGACTGGATAAGCAGACTCTTTGGATGGGCAGAAGATTGGCTGAGTCATTAGGTTCAGAGGGTTTTTATCAGTGGTACTTAATCCAGCTGTTGGCTGCTTATTAGTGACAATGTTTAGGCTTGGTACTGGCACTGACTGGTACTGTTCAACATCTTTATTTATGTCATGGATAGTGAGGCAGAATACATCCTCAACAAACTGATGGATAATACCAAACATAGGGGAGCAGTCAATAGGCTGGCAGATAGGGATATTATTTAGAGGGACCTTAACAGAGTCCAGCAGAGGCTGGAGAGAGGAGCTGTCAGAAATATCAAAACATTTAACAGAGAAAAGTGGAAAAAATCTGTATCTAGACCATGCATGACAGCACAGGCCGGCTGCTGCCTGGTCAGCAGACAGTTTTGCAGGACAGCACACAAGTGCACAAACTGAACGTGAGTTGATTTAGCTTTGCAGCGAAGATCAACTGTATTGTGGGCAATATCAGAGTGTATCTAGCAAGCAATGAAGGGATTGTTCCCTGCTGTTTGGCACTTGTAAGGCTATGCGTGAGTTCTGTTTTGAGCTCTCTACGTCACTGACATACTGAAGCTAGTCCACTGGGTTGGGTTAGGTTTTGGAGTGCAACATGTTTGAGGAGAGGCTGAAAGAGCTGGGTTTGTTCAATTTTAGGAAAAGAGAGTAAATGAAAGATCTTATTTGTGTTTTCAAGTGCCTAATTGGATGGTGTAGAAAACACAGATCCATATTATTCTTGGATGTTAATACTGATGAGAGGCAACAGATACAGGTTACAGCAATGGGAATTATAATTAGAGAGATGTAAGGACAGCTTTTTAAACTCTGGTGCTTTCAGATATTAGAACAAGAGCCTAGAGTGGCTGCGGAATCTCCATCCTTGGAGGTGCTTACCTGGATGAGACCCTGAGAAACTTGATCTAAGCTGGCCTGGTTTAACATGAGCTGTTGGACCAGATGACCTCCAGAAGTTCCTTCCAACCTAAAATATTCTATATTTTTATGATACAATGAAATTATCTTGGGTGGTTCATTATCAGTAAGAGAGGCATTATGTTCAGAAAGTAAGCAGTAATTGTGATCAAGGAACAATTCCAAAGTTCACTATCTTGTTATCTTAGGGGCTCCTACCCAAGATCCACGATGAGAACAAGATTAATGATGACAACTTTCTCCATCCAGCTAATTAGCATGCTTGGTGTGTGTCTTACTGGATAGAATGTTTTTTTTTCTCACTCCTCATAGAAATTTGTGAAAAGACCAAAGATCTGTTTCAGAGGTTAGCCATTAATCTCAGCCTAATAAATACTAAGAAATTTCATCTGTCTTCATGAACTCTTTACAGTTCTTTCTTTTTTCTGTTTCTATATATCACTAATATAACTAATGTGTGTGAAAACTGGCCTTTCCATTTCTTGTACTTGTTTTTAGAAGTAGCTAGCAGTCAAACATCTCCATGATCTTGATAGCAGCCTACTGCTGAAGTACATCTGGCTACCCATGCAAATATAGTGTATTTGTTATGGAAGCTAAAATTGTGTTGTTAAGGTTAGTTGGTCAGCATATAGAAAAGTATGGATGAGGAGAGGGGAGTTGACAGGGATGTCGCTGAAGCTGGAGAATATGGGGCATTTCAGCACGCATGGATAGGCAGGCTGTGGACTGCGATTTTCTTTCTCCCTTTGGTGAGGTACTTAGTTTGTGGAGTCTATGCATAGTGGCATGAAGAATAACTTCATGTAGGGATGTTGTTTGGACATTGTACTGATCTCAACTACAACTCAGAACAGCTTTTCTTGACAAGCACTGGGAAATTTGGTTAATTCCTGAAGTTTACGCAAAACCAGTAGTACACAAAGCTGAAGGACCAGTAAGCTTTTACAGGAGAGATTATCTCTTCATATGTAGAAGTGGAGGGAAGATTATAGTGGGCTGCAAACAACTTTTCACTTCATGAAAGCTTTACATGCAAGATTATCAGGCTCATAAAACAGAGTTTTATATAGCAAAAAAAAAAGAAACAACTTACCTGTATATCTGTGTGAAGCAGCCTTTGCAGGAATCCTCTCTTGCCGTCCCTCCTGTAGCTGTACCTATAGGTAGGACTGGACTTTGATTGGGCAAAGGTTGATTTAAAAGATGATTTATTTAACCAAGTTTCACTGAATATGCTCAATGCCTTGATAAGCTGCCTTGTCCTTGCCTGCAGAAGTGCAAATCACATGTATTTCTCAGCAGCAGCTTTGAATTCTGTTCTACTGATAATTATACTCAAAAACTCAGTGAAGGAGGTGATCTGAGGCAAGCCTGATCTTTGCTCTGGGCAAGAACCTTCTTCAGCTATAAGAAGTGCCTTAAAGGAGCATGTTTGGATTGTCATGTATTGACCATGGCTAGCTAGTATTTGATTGCAGATCGAGAGGTTCCCAATTCAAACCTGTGCGCTCCATGCAGGGTGCCAAACATAGGGGCTATGATGGGTTAATCTTGGCAAGCAGTCAGGTGCTCACCTGTCTACTCTCTTGTTCCCCTCCTCAGCTGGACAAAGGAAGAAAACGGCATGTAAAAGTGTGAGGAATCTGAAATAATGACAGTAATTCTGAGAGATATCAATGTACAGGGTGGTTGTGATTGAGGGGTAGACCTGACTATTGAGAACATCCCACAGGCCACCTGTGGATGTGAAACATGCTTTATAATCAGTGAGAAGAGACGAAGTCCCTACAGCGTACATACGGAAGTGGTTGGGAAAGACAGTTTGGATTACTCTCCTTATGGAAAGGAACGACCCACTTGTGGAATTGTCTTTGCTGAAGGATCGAAGTGTAATTGGTGGTCAGTGTGGAAGGATGAGCAGATTTGTCATGTACCTCTCTGAGGTTAGCACACCTGTGCACAGTTGTGCACGGTGCACAATTTGACTTGTATAATGCAATAAGTAATACAGCAGAAATCACCTGAACTAAAAGGGAGTGAGTTTCACACGGAAGATTGTGAACACAGCAATGTCCCAGTCCAAGCTGGTGCTGGTGCCCAGTGATCCAACATTCTGCTCCTCCTGTCCTGAGTGATGGCCTTGACAAATGGGACGAAAGTCCAGAGGATACGTAGATGCATTAGATAATGTGGAACCTAAGAATGGTGCAAATGACATGGAATAAGGGGATAAGGTTATACTGAGTCTGCCTGGGACAGAGCTTACTTTCTTCACGACAGCCTGTGCAGTGCTGTTCTTTGCATTTGTGTCTAAAACAAACCACACCAGTGATTTGGCTGTCATTGAACACTGTGCAAATTACCAGAACTTTCTCCATCCCTCTTCCCCTGCACCCAAGTGAGTAAGCTGGATGTGAACAAGATGCTGGAGAGAAACAGAGCAGAGACAGCTGACCCAGGCTGACCGAATGGATATTCTGTGCCTTTTGACATCATGCTCAGCATTATATCATGCAGAAAGGTGGAGGAATGCAGGGACACTTGATTATGGTATTTGTCTTCCCAAACCACTGTTAAGCTTGTTGCTTCCCAGTAAGTAGCCTGCTGATGGGAGGTAGTGAATGAATTAATCCCTCTTTTTGTATTGTATGCATGCATAACGTTTTCTATACACCAAACTCATTATCTCAGCCCCCAAGTATTGCCTTCTGTTTTCTCCTGACCCCGTGGGGAAGAGACAGGATGGGTGTTTGGCTGCTGAGTGAGGTCAACCCACTGAACACATCTTATGCAGCAGACATAAGCATCTGAAGGATGTACTGATAGGCATGGTCTGAACTGATAGCATTTTTGAAATGGGGGAAGCCTCCAAATTGGAGATCTTGGTACGCCAAGATATTTAGTGAAATGAGAGTGTGAAGTTCTTGCTACAAAGTCTCATTCAGTTTTGGAAAGCTTTAAAGTGACTGATCTCCTTCATTAGCTTGCTGTGGAATTGGATTATTAGAAATAATACCTGTGTTTTTCATGGCTGTCTGCTCCAACTGTTTAATTCAAAGGAAAGGTAATAAAAATAAGCATAACCTATATGGGCTATAATGGAACAGGCATCAGTGTTATAAAAGCCTTAATGTAATCCACTTACTCTAAGTGGATTTGCAAGCCTGTTGTGACTATGAGATGTTTTTCTTTCTGTAACAATCTAGAAAGCTGTATAAGTGAGCCCCAATGTTGTAAGCACCAGACAAATGTAGTCAGACCCTGCTTAGGATGGTGTGCAGTCCTTCAGATAAGTGAGACAAAGATTGGGTGAGGAGGGACACAGAGAAGGGGAATCGCAGCAGCTCACAGTTTGCAGCTTGCAGCACAGGCAGCATGGGAATCCATGCATACAAAACAATAATGCAGCATTTGAAACAAGATATCAGGTGGTATTTTTTTATGTCAGTGCCACTGCGACAACTGCCTAAGGTCATTTTGGATCCAGATAAGATTTTTTTTTTTTCCCCAAGAATAAGGTGCTGCACGGATCTAAAATGTTGGTGAAACAGAAATATTCAGAGTTTCTGGAAGGGAAAGTATGGTCATGTTCCAAGAAGAAGGGAGGTAGATGTTGTGCACCTGTTTCAAAAGATTTGGAAGAGAGATTTGAGGAAAGAAGGCCTAGCAGTCAGCAGAATACTCGAGAGCTTCTGGCATGGTGAAATACAAAGGCTGGTAAATGAGGTTGGAGAGGGGAAGATTCTTTGCTTTGAGGCAGGTTGTTAGTGCTAGACAGGAGGTTGGATGGGATTTTGATGGCAAGGTGCAAGGAGGGTGTATCTCTATGTGTGCTAAGGACCATTCA